ATAAAAACAAATGGATCCCAAACAATTTACAAAATGGACAAATTAAAATCCTTTCATTGCTATACGTATCATCGATCCACATTCACAAAGATTGAATCACACTAGTATAAGAAGTTAAAAACAAATGTGTTCATTCTATTACAGGACCTCAAATTACAGAATAACAGCATAAAAGGTATTTTGATACGAAACATTCCAATGACTTAAATCACCTTCGATGCAATCCAGAAGTCTAGAAATAGTAATCGAGAATTTAAAGTAATTAATACATCTTAAATAAAAAACCTCTACACAGGTCAAAATTTTATTTATTCTCATAAAAAAGTCAAATTATTATTCAAATATATTTTTTAAATCTATTCAAATTTCCTAACTAATTTATTTCATTCTTAAGATAATTCATTCTCACTAATTTGTTCCATTTTTCTTAATATAACTAATTGTTTAGCTAAAGAAAAAAAATGAGTGGTGATTTCTTTTGTTTAGTAAAGAAAATAAAGCATTACAGTAATAAATTAGTTTTTGGTAGTGCTTATTTTTCTTTATACAGTAATAGTCAATCGTTGCTAACTTTACTAGTGAACATAACGATAACTCAGTTAATAAATTTCATGTATCATTTGACCTCATGTGAAATGTGAGATGTTCTTATACGGGACAAAATTTTGAGTTAGCAGATTATTGGTTTTAGTGATAGCTTATTGGTTTTTTTTTTATCCCAATTAACAGTATTAAAAAAACAGTTGCATTTTATAAGTCATTAATTACTCATACTTTCTTTATTAAAAATTTATATCGTGTGAAGGGTTATCAGCATTATGACCAAAATATGACTTTGATGATATAAATATGTTACAAATTCATTTAAAATACACTAATCTATTAACATTTATTTAATTTATATAATTTAATTCCGACTCAAGTTTAATTGCTCAAGTCATTAGTATTTTACATTTTTGGAAAAGGCTGAAGACAACCAAAGGAGTGCATTGTATGACAAGAAGAAGTAGTGTGAGAAGAAGTGCATTTATAAAGTGTATAATAGACAAACAAACTTTTGACCTTGGAAAAGCTCAATAGAAGAAGGCCAGATATATACACAACAACAAAATGCCAAGTCTGTCAAGACAAAGTAAAAGAGACACGGACACATTTGGCATCATGCAAGAGACAAACAAGTCTTTGGAAAAGAATTCAAAAGGTGGTGATTGCAACAGCATGGAAAGAACTTAAAGAAGAAGAAAAGACCCGAATCCCTTCATATGTATTATATACAGCACTCTTCAGAAAAGGTGAGAAAGAGGAGATAGAAATGAGAGAAGCATTGATTAAAGGCCTAATTCCAAAGAAAACACAAGACAGATTAATGCAGCTTCTAATACAAAGGCAAGACAACAATTTGCAAGCACAGTAGCGAAAATAGCTTGGGACACCTTTTATGAACAGGTTTGGAGAATGTGATGTGAAAAAGTCAATGAATGAGAGAAAAAAGAAGGAATAACAGGCAAAATAAAAAAAGAAAAGAGAAAAAGAAATAACTCAGGCAAAAAGAAAAAGGCAGATCAGCAAAAGAAGGAAGAAGAAAAGA